CGCAGTAGCACTCACGCTAACCGAAGAAGACATGGATGACTTCCCACCTCTCCCTGTTACACCTCTTAAATCGCCAGCCCCGAAGAAGGTGATGTATGAACGCAGCAGCTCTGATCCAGATGATGCAAATCAGATAATTTCTCGTCTGTCGGCACTAATAAACACCAGGTCTGATAACATTGAGAGCATGGTGAGAGAGAATACGCTCCAGATTGATGGTCTCAAAAAGACGATTGAGTTTGTGTGTGCGGAAATGAAAGATATGAAGGGGAAAGTTTGCGACCTGGAGAAAAAAGTAACTAAAGAGGAAGGTCGAGTGGACAACTGTCAACAGAGAATATCTGAATTGGAAAGATATTCCAGGAGGTGGAATCTCAGACTACATGGAGTCAAGGAGGCTGAGAAAGAAGACGTAAGGGAAAAGGTGATTGAGATATGCAAGTCTGTTCTGCCAACACAAAATCATAGGCTGCCTGACGTCATCGACACCGTACACCGACTCGGAGCCAAGCGACAAGGTAGCACCAGACCTAGAGGCATCATCGTGCAGTTCACCTCCCGAATCTACAGAGATGCTGTATGGAAAGCAGCCAAAACTTCCTCCTACCTGCAGAACAATCATTTGAGGTTCGCTGAAGATCTGTCCAGGGAGGACAAAGAACGTCGTGACAAACTGTGGCCGATGATAGACAAAGCCCGTAAGGAGGGTAAGCCAGCTTATTTCGTGGGAGGTCGAGGATTCATCAGTGGATCAGAAGTTTTCCCTCCTTCATAGAGAGGCTTATTCAGTCTCCAACCTAACATTTCTGCAAGTTTGTTTACATGGAGAACTTTATATTTTCACCCTCAGGTTAAAGTTTTGTTTTGTGTTGAAGAGTGTGTTTGCTTATAAAAGCTATATTTAAACCATAGCAGATAGTTAAATTCTATATTTTTATAAGCTTAGTTACTCAGGGTTTCTGCTGTTTTATTACTTAAATTGTGCAGCACCCGGTCCCCTTATTCTATAGATCTATTCTTAGCTGTAGACGTTTAGAACCTACTTTCTCTATTAATCTCTTTTCTAATAACTTTTGTCTTTTTCATTTGTTTCTCTTAATACCAGGGGTTTAAGACAAACATGTAAACGCAAAGCTTTATTTTTGTTTGCCAAACAATTTAAAACAGATTTTTGCTTTTTCCAAGAGTGTCATTCCACACCTGCTGATATAAACTTTTGGAAATCGCAATGGGGTAATGACATATGGTTGTCCCATGGCTCTGAGCGTTCTGCTGGAGTTGCCACGTTTAAAAATAATTTTTCTGGGGATGTATTACACTCTGACTGTGACACCTTAGGACACTACCTCTGCTCAATAATCAGACACAGTAACAGTACTTTCATTGCAGTAAATATATATGGGTACAATAATAAAACAGAAAATGATAAATTACTCGACTCCTTAGAAGAAAGAATTAATTTCTGGCTCTTCAAATACCCAAATTCAGTCCTATTAATTGGTGGAGACTTTAACATCGCTTTAGACAATACGGTTGATAGATGGCCTCCAGGGCAGCAATCCTCATATAGTGCAAACTTAAAAAAATTTATGGGAAAATTTAATGTTGTGGATATTTGGAGAAAAAAATGTCCAGATGATAGACTCTTTACTTGGAGCAATAAGACAGGATCCAGGCAATCACGTATTGACTTCTGGCTTGTTTCTGACTGCATTGATAAAGATAATATTACCGTTAATATACATGCCACCCCCCTCACTGATCATCGAGCAATTCACATTAACATCCAAATAATTACACTGGATAATATACCTCATAATTTCTCTTATTGGAAGTTAAATAACTCTTTGCTAAAAGATAAAATGGTTAACATGCAGATTCATAAATTAATCGGTTATTATTGGAATAAAGCTAACAGAGAGAAATCCTTTTGTAGAAACTGGGAACTTTTTAAATTTGAAGCATGCAAATTCTTGAGAAGATACGGGAGTCACATTGCTAAATTAAGGAAAGTTGAAGAACAAGACGTAATAAGCAGAATTGCCTCTTATTACCAGAAGTCCCCAGAAGAAATCTCAGAGGAAGATAAGTTAAGTTTACTAGAACTTCAAAATAAATTGGACGGTTTATATCGGCGCAAGGCTGAGGGTGCTTTTGTAAGATCCAGGAAGAGGTGGCTGGAGGAGGGAGAACAAAATTCTGCTTACTTTTTCAGGCTTGAAAAATACAGATCAAAAATGAACTCTATTCATCAACTAAATATTAATGGCATTGTCTCTGACAATCCTGGAGAAATTTCATATTTCTGTGCCGAATTCTATACTAAACTATACAAATCAAAATATAATGAGGTTGTCTCAACAGGATTTCTCAATAATATTAAAAACCTAAAAACGATTGTTGTGGAAGATAGAATTTATTGTGACAGCCCTCTGACTGTGGAAGAAGTCTGTACTTCCATTTCTGCACTTAAGGCCAATAAATCTCCCGGCACAGATGGTTTGACTGCAGAGTTTTATAAATCTTTTTCTAATCTCCTGGCCCCATTTTTACTGCAGGTTTTTACAGAAAGTATAGAGAATAACACCCTCCCTCCTACTCTTACTCAAGGTCTCATAACACTTGTTCCAAAACCTAACAAAGACTTACTTTTTATTGATAATTGGAGACCCATCTCCCTGCTCAATAATGACTATAAGATTATGGCTTTAATACTTGCTAACAGGATTAAAGAGGTCTTGGACACAATTATTGATGAGACACAATCAGGCTTTATGAGAAATAGACACATTTCTAATAACATTAGACTGGTATTGGATTTACTTGATTACTCTGATTTGGTATCTGACAATAGCTTCATTCTCTTCCTGGATTTTTATAAGGCTTTTGATACAATTGAACATCAATTTATTTTCCACTCTTTGGAAAAATTTGGCTTCGGCAGGTTTTTCTGTAAAGCTGTCAAAACCTTATATACAAATGGCAATAGTTCTATTAAAATGATTAACGGCTCCACCCCGAGATTTGACCTGAAACGTGGTATTCGCCAAGGATGTCCTATATCACCATATTTATTTTTACTTTGTACACAAATTCTTGCAACTAATATTTCAAACAGTGTTGTACAAGGAATCACCATAGCTGATAAGGAGATCGTGATTAGCCAGTTAGCTGATGACACCACACTCTTCTTAAAAAATGCAAACCAAATCCCTCTAGCTCTTAGTGTGATTAGTGACTTCTCTGAGGCCTCTGGTTTATGCCTAAATCTAAAAAAGTGTGAGTTGTTAGCAATTAAAGACTGCCTTGCAAATACTGTCTGTAATATTTCTGTTAGAAAGGAAGTCACATACCTGGGACTGTTAATATCCAAAGATCAAAAGTCAAGATGCTCTTTAAACTTCACTCCAATTATACAGAAAACCCTAAAAAAGTTTAACCACTGGCTGCAGAGGGACTTGTCTTTGAAAGGTAGAGTGTTAATTACTAAAGCTGAAGGGTTATCCCGTTTAACATATGCTGCTCTCTCTTTACATCTGGATAAGGAAATTGGTAAAGATATTGACCGTATGCTCTTTAATTTTATATGGAAAAACCGTACGCATTATATTAGGAAAACTGTTGTGATGAATAAGTACGAATCAGGTGGGCTTAACGTCCTAGACTTTTCTACTTTAAATAACACTTTCAAAATTAATTGGGCTAAACATTTTCTTAAAAACCCTACTTCTATCTGGAACCTTATACCATATCATATTTTCTCTCGTTTTGGTGGCTTTAATTTTATTTTAAATAGTAATTACAATGTTGAGAAACTCCCTATAAAACTTTCATCCTTCCATAAGCAAGTCCTCTTAGCGTGGACCCTCATTTATAAACACAATTTCTCACCTCACAAATATCTTATCTGGAACAACAGAGATATTTTATTTAAAAATAAATCACTTTTCCTGGAAACTTGGGTCCAGAATGGGATCCTATTGGTGGCTCAGCTGGTTAATAAAGAGGGACAACTACTTACTTACAACGACTTTATTGCCCTATATAATTTCCCAGTCAGTGTTCAGGAATTCTCAATGGTGCTTGGTGCCATACCCTCAGGGACTTTAATGTTATATAAAAACACTGACAGCTCAATATCTACCTCAGTAACACTCCCTGATCCAGTTGAGTCACCAATAGGAAAAATCTGCTTTTCTCAAGAACTTGGTAACAGCAATAAGAGAATCCGTAGTTTATTCCAGGAAGATATCGTCTCTCTCCCGTATATAATATCTCATTGGAACCGATATGTTCCAGATATCAAGTGGAAGACAGTCTGGATGATCCCCCAGAAATATTTGATTGTAAATAAGGTGAAAGAAGTCTCATTTAAACTTCTACATAAATGTTATCCAGCCAGTCATTACATGGTAAAATTTAAAAGGGACATAAATACTAATTGTACTTTCTGTGGGGATCATCCAGAAACTGTGACACATCTTTTTTGGTGCTGTTCTTATACACAAAGATTCTGGAAGGAATTTAGCAGGTTTGTTACTGTCCATATTTTAAGGGAGTTTTCTTTACGATGGGAAAATGTTTTATTCTGTTTCTTTAAGTTCCCCATGAAGAATGATAAATGTTTTTTTATGATAAATCTGTTAATACTCTTAGCTAAATTCTTTATTCACAAATGTAAGTTTACCAACAAAACACCATATTTCTGTCATTTTTTTTAAGGATGTGGAATTGTACATAAAATCACTATCAGAATCCACCAACAAAAAGGCTCTCAAAACAATATATATATGTGAATTTTTGCGTGTATTCTTATAACTGTTACTTTTTTCTTTTACCCCTGGCTTTGTGTGTTCATTTTCTGTTGTTTTGTATACTTCATTCGTTTCTATGTTGTATACTCATTGTTTGTTAAATAAAGTTTATTAAAAAAAAAAAAAAAAAAAAAAAGGTTCCCCGTGACCGTGAACCTGAAGAAAATGTCACGCAGCATCATCTCAGTCACGCAGCACCATCTACTGTGGGGCCGCTCAGTTGCAAGCATGGAGGATGATTTGGAGCAGTTCTTAATTTGTAGAGAGGTCCCAAAGGATGATATTACACGGATGAAGAGAGACAAGGTGAGTAAGCATGCCGTTCATTCAGTGTAAATGTAAGAACACTCGTGGGTAACAAAGTTAGCAGTAATGCTATGCTATCATAAGCTAATACTAGTATGGTTAGCTGAAATCTTAATCGTTTCGTTTTTGTTTATGAACGGCACACTTGATAGCCTAATTACTGTACCTAATACCAGTGATGGCAATGATACGATTAAATTTGAACAACGAACAAAAGTAATGCGCACACGGACTATTCTCAGCAAACTGATAAGAACTGTATCGTCGTTACCAAATTAACGACAGAGTATCACATTATCAGATTAGCCAGTGTATGTTTATAGTATAACAATAGAGAAATTAATAACGCCTACACGTACAGGTGGCTTAAGGTGATATGGTGAGGTAAGCCTTTGGCTTTGTTCAGGTTGAGATTACCTGGATGCGTTTTTGTATGTTTGTATGTATTTTTATTTTTTTTAATGATGCTGAATCTTGGAATTCTCATCTGCCAAAATAATTTGTACATTAACTGCAGATTCAAATTCAATTCAAAATTCAAAAATACGTTATTAATCCCAGAGGGAAATTGATTAGCGAGAATTGGAATTATTTAATTAATAAAAGTGCACGTGTCAGGTTGCCAGTCAAAATTGTTTCATGGAAGGGGCTTTTAAAACTGTTAAAAGGGAATCTGTCACTATAGTCAGTACCGGTAAGTTAATGCATTTGAATAAATAGATGTGTCCCTTGCAGGGCTAAACCAGCTCTTATTCCTAGAAATAGACAAAATGGGATTTGTGTGCAGAAAGCTAGCATTCTGTCTGGTAATATGTGGAAACTTGTACTGTACTCTAAGATCCCATCTGTTTACAGATGCAGGTTACCACTGAAACACTGCATTGAAACTATTATTTCTCTCTCTCTCTCTCTCTCTCTCTCTCTTTCTCTCTCTCTCTCTCTCTCTCTCTCTCTCTCTCTCTCTCTCTCTCTCTCTCTCTCTGTCTCTCTGCAGGTTGACAAGGCAGTATTGCGCATCATGACTGATGAGCAAATGTCAAAATACATCACGTCATATGGTGACCGAGTAGCTGTCCTATCTTTCTGTGAACAAACGCAGTGTCATAGCACCAATAAAGAGACTCTATTACAGAGATTAAAATGTAAAATAGGGGCACGCAAGATGAAGTCCAAGACAAGAGGATCAGTGAGTGGTACACCAGATGAACCCCAATGTACCATGGCCAGACAAAAAAATATGGCAGCAGAGAAGACTTCAAGGAAGGTTGAAATTGGATGGCTTCATTTTGGCAGTAATGGATACAGTCAAGTACGGACCAACAGTGGTGGAGGCACAAGACATGCAACACTGGCAAAAACAACTGTTGCTCAGATCATGGAATTAGGAAAGGAGCTGTTTTTCCCTGATGGGCGCTCAACAAAAGGACCAGCTGAAGACTTCACATTTGGCATCTGTGATTTTAAAAAGAACAAGATTCCCTTGGATAGCACTATTGGCCAAATGTATGAACAAACTAAACTGAAGCTGCTCAGATTTTACATTTGTACAAAAGAGGGAGCTTCAACAGATCACTCATCTAAGGAAAAGGGGCTTCTTGAAGATGAAGAAGATGGATGTCACTCAGGCGATTCCATCACAGATCTGCAGGATCTTTCAAATTCATCTGATAGTGATGGAGGCACCCAGGTATATTGAAATATATTTTTGACAAGTTGAATAATGATACTAACAAGGATTGATGTAAATTATTTGCTAAAAAGATTACTCTCTTCAGTCAATAACTTTATTATGACTGTCTTTCTACATATACCTGCAAACCTGTGATGTGTCTGTTTGTTTATGTTGCATCTCTAAACATGTTTATTTGGGATTACATGTGTACTTGTCGCGTGCCCGTCCCATTTACCGGTTCCTTTAAAACCCAGTTCCGTTAGAACTTATGAGACGGTGCATCCATCAGGGTTCGGGGGTGTATCGACGAGTATAATCGTACTAGACCCGGGTTTGGACTACCTAATTAGAATCTTGCCTTTTATTTTAAAGGTGAAATGACTTGCACGAATAGCCAGCCCCAGAGTATTACACTTCTTTTAAACTCGTTACCTTTTGGTTAAGATACTAGAGAGAAGTCTGGAGGCAAGCCAAGCCTCTCAGCAATTGTTTGGATTACCCGGAATTAATTGCGCCTCTAACAGCTTATGTGGGAGGTTGGTAACTATAAAATGATTTATGCTAGTTGATCAGGCTATCATAATTTTATCAATTTATTTATTAATCCAACCTTCCAGCTGATTAGAGACTTTTTCAACCTGCAATCAGAGCCAAAATAACCTCGAATATTTTGCTTTTATCGCCCTTAAGACAACTCGTTACTCGCAAGGAGGGGAAAGTTAAAACTTCCCTTATCTTAAGGTTTCTTTATATTATTCTGTTATAAACTGTAAAGTAAGTCCTGATAATTCAGAGACCGATCTTCGACATGCTTACCTCTGTGCAATTATGGCCAGGGCCCCAAACGTGAAGCTTTAGAGAAAACCTGAAAGAATCAGGATTATGTTTCTTTTTCAAAAAAGTTTTATTACAAAATCAAAATACAAAAAATGGGTAAAGTGAAAAACAACTGCTATCCCCCACGGAGAAATTAGTTCAAAATGATTAAATAAGAGTTAGTTTACACTAGCTCTTGTCTTCTCAGAATCTCCCCAAGCACGAAGCCCTCCTCGATCTGAGCTGCATCCTTTTATATCATTTCTGAGACTGCTCTAAACAATGTAAGAGTCACAAGTCATTCTCTCCTGACAGTTTAGGTCAAGGGGTCATTTACCAAATACACTTTTTTAGCTCTACATAAGACATTTGGTATCATTTTCACTACATGCAGTATTCACATGAGGGCACAAAAGTTACATGCTGCACTCCTGGAATGAGAGCACAGGTCATAAATCTTCATGTTGGTAGCAAATTGTAGATCTTCCTCCAGCATTCCTGAGAGCTTCTGGGTCCAGTTGGACTTTCCTCACTCCATGCCAGTCCTTCTTTTCCCGCCAGAGGTGGAGTTAGGGGCGGGCCCAGGGGTGTGTCCATGGGTGGATCCAGAGAAGACAGCCTGTCTTTTGACCCTTTGCCTAGTTCTGTCCTCACCAGCAAGTCCTGAACTATTGTCCTCTTGACCCTTGTGTGACCCTTGTCTCTGACCACTGTTTCTAAGCCTTGACCGATTGCTCGGACTTGCAACATCCCCCATGGGGACGAACTGAGGCAAAGGACCATAAAAAGATAGAGCAGCAATGCAAGCCTTCATAAATCTAGCATCCATCTCACTCAGGAACGGCTGAACACTCAGACACCTAACTGTGGCCTCCACATCAACCCTCATTCTCATCATAATGCCATCATCAGCTACGGGTAAGCACAAGGTCCCTTTGCGGGTTGTTACATAACCTTTAAACTGCTTTCTCCCATCTGCGGGATCTTCACCCAAGAAGAATAAAGATAAATCCATCACCGGAGCTTCTCCACGTGGAAGCGATCCCATCATTTGAGGTGGGAAGCTGGCGCTGAAAACCAAAACATGATTTTTCGTATCCAACAAAGGTGCGGTCCCAAAAGAGTCACAGACTTCTGGGCCGAACCATCCAGTCTTTACAGACAAAATATTCATAAACTGAAAGCAATCTATAATCTTGCCTTGACAAACAAAGTAACATCCCTTCTGGGATTTAATCCTCCATCTCATTTCTCTCCCTGGTGCAATTCGGACAGGGGAAGGAATGCCTGCTGGCTCACTACTTAGACAGACCATAGGGATTTCACGTATCACATCAGGACACGGGACGCATGTCGAAGCTGCCGTCATTACTGATACAACCTCTTCAGCCACGTCAGATGAGGGCGCCGTTGTCAGCTCCTCGTCGTGGGCCTGCTCAAGCAGGGCATCTACTCCCGGGGAGGACAACATTAGTATGTCGTCTTCCTGACCAGTCTCCCGCTTGAATCCCTTTTCCATTTGGTCTGGATGTACTGAATAAACCTGCAAGACATGCAGCGTTTATTCATCGTAGCATGTTCACACTGGAGCCCGATCGTCTTAGTCTGAGGCAATCCATCCCTCCCGCGATTCACGGTGCACAAATAGTATGTGCCATTCAGAGAGAAAACAGTTGATGGACCTGCGGAGGGGATTAATCCCTCTATGATATTCTGCCGAATCGAGTCCATCTGGAAGGAACATAAAATATGTTCCACATGAGATATATAACTCATTCCATGAAGCAATAAGTAACTGCATTACTGCATAAACACTTCTTAATTATAGGAGAAAATAAATCATCAGAAGCTGCAGGAAGAACCACACTACAATTCCTATCTGCAGGCATAGTTTTACAACAATAATCCTCACAACAAGTGTACACCAGTTATGAAATGTCTACAACATCCTAAAGACAAACTGGATAAAATAGTTACAAAATCCTGACATACCTCCAGATTCAGAGCGTCAATTAGCTCAGATTCAGGGTGAGTTTGATGAGCCATTTGTTCACCTCAAGTTACAGACTGACAGTTAAGGAGCAAGTGACACGCGGTGCAGAGAGGCCTGCACTTAAACAGGAGCAACAAGAAAGGGGGCTAATGCTCCCTCTACCTTGACACCTCTCTTCCCATCTTATCTGGATCTACCAGGTCCTTTCTCCTTTCTCCTAACAGCTTTCTTCCTGTCAACTGCCACTTGTTGTTTTTACAGGCCAAAATCATACCGATTATTATACCAATGCGTAATATTTCCTGTTTGCCAGGAACTTAAACTACTGTCTTTGGTCTGAAAACACCCAAATTCGATTCTACCAGGCCACCATCTTTCTATCTTTATCACTTTGAAAGTGGTGAAGTTGTGTCCCCATTCTAAATCATTTCTAAGGCAATATTTGTAAACCCACAACTCTACTTCACCTGAAGTCTGATTTAAGATTTTCTTTTTCCTCAATATTATCTGACAAGATCGATCAAGCTCTGTGGATCCTGTCTGATCCATTAAGACTGCCATATACTCCGCCCATGGGCCGGTCTCACCACACTCCGTGTCATTCTTCCTCCTGCTCTGCTGCAGAAAATGATGTCACGGAGGGTGTAGCCATAATCTGGTCAAATCCATTTTCTCCACAGGGCAAGCGCAGGCAGCCAGTTTTGTTCCCTGTTACACTACAAATCTTGAATCCAATCTGTGTTGCTATCATGCAGGTGGTTATATTCTCATTAAAATCTTCTTTGGGCCATAACAGCTTAATTTTGGATACATTCCAATTCCCTACTAATTGTTGTGGTCCTCCGTGAGTTATGTTATATGTCACTGAGGACACATGATACGTTCGGAGATATACATGTACCCCATATGCAATTGCTATACTTAATCCTATGAGGCTAAATTCGAAAAGGATAAAAAAGGCCCATTTAATCCATTTTATTATCCAATTCTTTCCTTTCGGAATATTTACATCTTTCTTTTTAACTTTGGGGTCAACTCCCGCCGGAGTTGCATACCTGACCACTTTTCGTTTTCTGCTGCTTTCCCTCTTATGCTTCTGAGGAGACAACATCTGCAAAACAGAAGCATAAAAATCAGCAGGAAATGAAAGCGCCCTGCTCTAGTTAGTTAGAGTCAGATTGGAGACCAGCCTTCTACGAGACATTCTAGTGTGAGCAGTCCCATAAATCTTAGGCCAATATGCCTCTCCTCTCCGGGTGGTCACTATGTTAACAGCCGAGCTGCAAACGCGACCCGACAGGTCTATTACCTCTATCAAAGTTAACTGATAAGGCATGAACTTACGCTCCGCCCCTGGTCCAAGACTCTTCAGCTCAACCAGGTATGATGTAACACGCTTACGCATCCCTGGGGGCTCCTGAACAGACAATCCTGTATGCCAGTCCAGAGTCCCTGACAGATAAGTTCCCCATCTGTCGTCTTTATACTCTTGAGTTACCCCAATCTGTGTACCTGTTTCCCATGCATCAGCCAGCGTACCAAATTGCTGTCCTAATATTAAGCTCTTAATAGACTCAAATTTGGACCGAGCCTGAAGCTCTTCCAGTCCTTTTTCTCTGGTCTTGAGCTTGAACACAAATGGATAAGCTTCCACCCATAAATCTCTAACCGGCTTCACCAGGCTAGGATTCCTGAGCAGCTCTCCTACAAAAAACATACTTGGCTGGCTTGTCGGTAAGCAGGTAGTCAAAACACCATTCTTCGTGAAACAGCACCCATCTTTGATTTCACCTCTGTGGGTGCATTCACAGACCTGCCAGGAGATGATGCCTGGATTATTCCTCAAGCAGGTTCCGCAAAAACATATTTTAATGGGAGCAGACAGCTCCACTGCACCTGTATGTAAGTCCGTTCCTCTCTCCAGGTGAGTGGGCTTCTGCTCCCGGAGCCCCGACCATTTAATTAGGGTGCACAGAGATCCGCATATCACGCATGTTCCTGGCCTCAAGCCTCCCCATTGCGCGTAACGATACGCATTTGCAGATTCTATGAAGCCCGGAAACATAGCCACTTTACAATCTTTAACACAATCCCCCTTCGTTAGCAAAATTAGGCCCGTAGCACCTGGGATCTTACAAGTCATTTCTTCACTAGATTTTGGCCCAGCCATGACCTTTAATCAAGTAATTAATTAAAAAAAAATTTT